TAAAATAAAGACCCCCTGACTTCAGTGGGGAGAGCGACGTGGTGGACAAATGAGTCAGAGAGACCCGTCGGAGCCCAGGGTGGTCCTGGTGAGCGCTGTGGGCAGCGGACATGGAGAAGGGAGGGTGGGAGAGGGGAGAGAGGGGTGTGCCGCGGGCTGGCTTGGTCAGGATGTACTTACAGCTAGTGAGCAGGCGAGGGGAAGGGGGACCAGGGGTGACACGTGCAAAGAACCAGTGCATTGTTTTAGATGTATTTCTTTGTTTTTTTTTTTTTGCCCGGGTTGGGGGAAAACAGGAAGGGCGGGTTGGAGGTAAGCACTCAAGAGCTGTCTTTCGACTGGGATGTTTATGAGACCCTGGGATAGTATTGAGACCCCTGGTGCTTATGGAAATGCTATTCCAGGGACAGGTGAGTGTGGAGACACAGGTGTGGGAAGCACTGGAATGTGAGTGGATTTAAAGCCACGGAAGTGGGTCAGGTCACCCGGGGAAGGAGTGTGGCGATGGAGAAGCAAGGACGCGGGCGCAGAGCCCTGGGGCCTCCAGCATCCAGAGGCCTGCCAAGGAGGGGCCACAGGAGACCAAGAGGGACCAGCCAGGGAGGGGGCAGGAAACCTGGAGAGCAAGGTGACCCAGAGTATTTCCAGAGGCAGGAAGTCCACTTCTGTGTCCTGCTGTGAGAGCTGAACGCAAGGATAGAGAAGTGACCAGAGGACTGAGTCACATGGAGCTCAGTGGAGTGTGGGGACAAAGTCTGATGGGGGAGGTGGAGGGAGACAGGCAGAGAGCTCTTTCCAGACCTGTGCTGAGGCAGGGAGCAGAGAAGTGGGGAGGTGGCTGGAGAGAAATGGGGACAAGGGAGGTTCTCTGCAGCGTAGGAGACACCTGAGCACCTCTGTGAGCTGATGGGACGATTCGGTGGGGAGGGAAGAAAAGTGCAAAATCCCGGACAAGTTCCAGGGGATGCAGAGGGTGGGGGTGGGGGGGTGGGGAGGGAGGGGCGGCCTCCTTAGGAGCAGGGACCCTTCCTGATGGCTGTGTGGGACAATGTGTCCCTGTTGTCACAATGAGGGGTGAACCTAAGCTTTTCTCAGGTGCAGGGGGGCAGGCGGTCACTCTCTGGCTTGTCAAGGGGGTTCACAAGGGCGGGCACCTGGCACAGAGTGCTCAGTGAGGGGTGGCTGTCACCTTCTCAGCGTCATCACCATCACAGTCACCCTGTAGGGCCTGTTCGTTGGATACTTGGCGTCTCTGGGGAAGCTCTGGAGGGTTTTAAGTTTCTGTCTGAGGAGTCACCCTGCAGGCAGGGGCAGGAGGGATTGCAGTCGGCGCCCCCAGGTGGAGCCTGTCCTCAGCTCTGCGCGTCGCCTGGGCCTCTGCCGTGGGTATGTGGCAGCGCCGGGAGGCTGGGCCGAGTCTCCTACCTGCGACACCGACTGGTGGGTAAGGGCAGCCCAGCTCGGAGCACGACCCCATGCGGCGCGTCGCGGCCGCGGGCGCCCTCCCTGCTCTGCGACGCGGCGGCGGCTGCCGGGCGCG